TTCATCAGCTAACACTAAAGGCACACCTGCCTCTGGGCTGCACTCGGGTTTCAACATCTGCCAACAGCTCCGTGCTTCATCCCTTAGAGAAAGAAGAGGAAGAGGAGGAGGAGGAGGAGGAGACACAGGAGGAGGAGACGCAGGAGGAGGCGTCAGGGGAGCGATGGAAGGAAGGAAGAGAGAAAAGGGGGAAATAAAAGGCAGAAAGAAAGAAAAACAAAAAAGTCTCTGGTGGGTTTCCTGTGACACGTGGTTGCATTTCACGGAAAAAGTCTGTGTTGGTTTTCAACAGCAAAACCACAAAGACGAGATGGTATTGTATCAGAGAGGAAGAAAAGAAATCTCACAGCGAACCCGCTTTGTGAAGGGCAAAAACTAGAGTCACGTTTTCAGCAAAGAAAGACGTCTTTCACTGCCATTCCCAGTGGCCGTGAAATACTTGGCGACACGTACGGATAGAAATATTCAAACTTTGGTCAAAACATTATTATATAGTAATACCTAATAAATCCCTCATGTGACATTGTTGTGGTTCGTGCATTGGGACCGAGGAAGGCATTTTAGAGGGGCATTAGAAACCAGCATTGTGTAAATTTGAATGGAAAACTCCCGGATTTACAGGGTATTTTTAAATTATTTTAGAACATGCCTTTGTTTTGCATCCAAAGCAGCACAGGTCCTTCTGGTCTGATTAATTATGTGGTGATGTTTGGTTGAAAAAAGGAAAACACGGGGATGTCTGTTGGATGGAAAAAATAAAGTTTTTTTTAGGTCTCTTCTAGGATTGTTAAGTATTTGTATTCAGCTTCTAAAAGTCTATTAATGATGTGGTGCTGTAATGCTGTTAGCAAGCAAACTACTAAAAATGAAATTCTAGAACATCAAACTTGATGTTGATGTTAAGGAGAAATTTTATTAGAACTTGATTTTTGGAAAAAAAAAAAGAAGAAAAAAAAGAAGCCAGACTACACGTGGCACCTATGACATTTGACCTAACCTTTCTTTTGTTCCCAACTCTTATTGAATGAAGCCTCGAACAACAGCAATGTGAAGAAGTTAAGAGTCAAAACTCGTTTGGAGAAGGAAGAAACATCATGTGATCCACAAAAAAAAAAGGTATTTCATTTGAAGAAAGAGAAATGAAACCGTACCAGTGGTTACTGGTACATGCTGATCCATTCAAAATTCCTGTCCAAGTCATTCACTTCTCTAACTCTGGGTTACACTGACATGCAGTTTACTAACCACAGGCACCTAACAACAACATGTAAACCATGGTTTTGTTTTTTTTTTGTTTTTTTGGGGGTAAAGCAATGTGATACTGCACATTTCAGAGGAGGGGTGTGGGGAACGTTTCATGTGTTTGTAATGACATCATCCATGCGTGAAGGATGTGTTGTTTACACTAATGATGAGAAAAACAATCGTTACTCGTCCGGAGAGGAAATGAAATTAACCTCCTCTGTGAACCTGTATTGACTGTTAAAATGTATGTGTATTTTAATAGTTAAGGATTTCAAATTGATATGTTATTCTGTTACTAGGTAAACAGTGACACGTTTTTTAAAAAAACATCTTTAACTGTAAACCTATAAAGAGAAAAAATATTTAATCAATGATATATTCAACGATCACTTCATCTTTGATACTCATGTTGAGAGTTGCAGGAATATTGACGGAAAATCAAAGGCAATTTAGGGTTAGAAAAAAAAGGCACTTTCTAAATTTAGTAGTTCCAAGTGAATTCAGACAGTACAAACAGTCCACCAAACTGAGCGGACACCTTCCCAGACTAACATTGCCTTTGTTATCAGATTCACTAAAGGCTACTGGTTCAATCCTCTCTAGTCAATAACTACAGTAGCATGAAGTTTTCCGTGGCCCAGCAGTGGCTGATGCGAAAGCTATTAACTTTTAATTTGTTATATACGTGCTGCATAATACATGGGAATTAAACCTCATTAATGTTGGCATATTTCACTCAGAGGGCAGGCAGTCAGCAGGACGGCCTTACATACAGTAAGAGGACCATAAAAGTCGGTGGATATCATCCTCTGACCTTCAAGAATTTCACTACCAAAATTGATGTCGCTACGTCCGAAAGTCGTTGACATTTTTTTCCGAGTGGACCACGGTGGGAAGAATGATGTCATGCGTCAGTCCCTGGACTCCCGCAGCCATGTCCTCAGCACCTGAGTGTATTTATAAGGTGCTACAAAAACCAGCCCAACGCAACAAATGAACAGCCAACATCAGCACGTTACGCTGTTATTTGTTTTTCCTCGGGTCACGTCTCCCCTCTCTTCTGTGTTATCTCTGGGTTTCAGTCCGGTGTCGAAATAAATGGATACCATTGATGTTTGCAGCGCAAACAACTGCATATCAATGGAGGAGGGGGGTGGATTTTTTTAAAATGGTACTCTGGTCAGCCATTGGTTTGTTGGTTTCCATAGGATCAACCTTTCGACCCGGCATCACGCTGCACTGCAGTGACTATAAACAACCCCCTCCCCTCCCTCCAGCTCTGCTTTATACCATTGACTGGTCAGCACAAAGGAAAAGAGCTGACCTTAACTGTCCTGCCACCCTTCAGCTGAGCAGGTACACAGAAACAAAGGCACTGGAACTGTCAGGTACCGAGCCAACTCACTCCAGGTTTGACCCCAGATTTTTTGAAAAATGCCCTTCATCCATGTCGTTGTCTTGAAACAGACGGTGCAAAAACAGACAGCAGAGACTTGACTGTGGTAAAACAAAGAGGGTTGCTTCCTCCCACCCAGTGATGAGAGAAGTTCGATCCCCAGGTGGGCAGCGGACAGCTACAAAGCCCAGATGTAGCCAGTTTAAGCTCCCGCTTCGATCCAGCTCATTGAGCTCCATACTGCTGATCAATTAGAGAGAACAGCTGAGGCAGCAGCTGAGTGCACAAACAAACATTCGAATTTTCACCCTTTTTGGTGTTTTTTAAAAAAAACAAAAAAAAAAAACCTGGTTTGCAAATGTACTGCTCCATCTGTATTTGTTGTCAACTCCTCTCATTTTTGAAAGTAAAGCTCACCATTGTTTCTTGTCACCACCGCCTTGTAGAGACCGATTCAGTTTAAATCTACTCACACAAACCCTTCAGCATGAAACAAAGTCTGTCCCTTGGATTTTTCTTTCCCCCGATGAGATGTAACTCACGACTAATGAGACGGTGCAGCTGTAGCTTCATGCAGACAGAAACGCTGCTGATCAGCTCGTGCATGATGGACGGATAACGTCTAGTTAAAAAGAAAACGTGCTTAAAGAGACTCTACTGGCCCCGAGTGAGACCTGGGGGGTGGATTAGGAATTTATCGCCACAGATTCATTGAAGATTTTTGGAGATGGTTGGTTATATATTGAACTAGGAGCTGCACAAATAACCATCGCCTCATTTGATTCCCTTATGACG